GAGGTGGGTAGAATTAAGACCAGAAATCCCTCCTAAGCCCCGGGCCTCTGCTGGATGGCAGCTCCCTGCTACCTCCTCAGCTTCCCAGCCTGGCTTTGGGCAGGTCCCCAGCTCCTCAGAACACAAAATTTCACTTTATTCTCTTTAACAACCACTGCTGGGTACTCCCAGTGCAGCTCCTGGATGGGCATCCTCAGTGCAGTGAGGACACGCCTGGGGTGGAGTGATCATATTTTTTCTGCATTGTGACATTTTCTTGTTTCAAGGCAAGCAGTGCATTAGCAGGTTTCTGATTTTGCTCCACATGAAGTGTCTAAGCAGGGCATCCTCAGACTATTTTCGAGACGATGCCACCCAGAAGCAGTGCAACTTTCCTCCCCACACTGGACACATGAGAAAGGCAGAAACGGTGGCATTCAGGAGTAGCAGCGGCATTTCGGGCATAGGAGCGGGGTCTCAGAGGCAGCGAGACCTGCACCCAACACTGCCATTTGTTCTCTGTCCACCCACCCTCACCTTCTTCTGCGTCTCTGATAACCCACGTGTGTTATTAAACTCCAGCTGTGCAAAGAAGTGGGTTGTTTAGTTTGGTTTCATTTTCTCAGGTGAGCCCTCAGTGTGTTTTTAAAAGCCCAGGTCTGCACAGAGGGTGATGGAATGCCAGGCTGGGCTCGGTGCCATGGGAGTGGCCAGGGGTGGAAGGAGTGCTGTGCACGGCCACCCTCGCTGAGAGCCCCCCAGGCTGCCCTGGTGGCTGGGCAATCCTTGAGCCTGGGGTGAACGAGAAGATCTTGAACCAGAAGAGCTCTCCTCTCACACTTATGTTCGTGCAGCAGCACAGCGCTGGTGCCGGCCCCGCCGCTGCTCCGGGCGCCTCCACAAGTGCCTCCAGCCATTAAACCGGATAATAAAAGGCTGCAATGCCCAGCTGCAGGGTGCTGGGGGATCCCAGAGCAGCTCAGCCTCACACAGGCGTGTGCCTTCGCATTCTGTTCACAGAGCAAAGCGCTGCGGAGCTCTTGGGTGCCAGAACGGGGACAGATCATTCCAGCACAGACACTGTCTCCTCTTCTATTTGTTGTCTCCCACACAGTTTATTGAAAAGAGACATGTTTAGCCTGATATCTTTATTTGAAAGCTGCCAGCCAGCTGATGAAAATGGTGCTGCTGCCAGCAGGAGCTGTGGCAGAGACCTAGGAGAAGCCCACCTGTCTCTCCCAGGAAAGCTGTGCTGGATCTGGGATGGGGTCCAGCACTTCTCTACTGCAGGGCCTCAGCCACGCTCCTGTGAGAACTCTGGGTCTTGCACTGGCTCCAAGTGCAAGAGACAGACAGTGGGTCCATGGGAGGTGGGAAGGGTGAGGATGAGGGCGGATAAAATCCAGGGGAATGCCAGTCCAGAACCAGAGAAATGGGGAGTTTTGCAGCACGGCTGTGGCAAGAGGCAGACAAGGCCTCCTCCCAGAAGGGCTCAGTCCATGGAGCAGTTAAGGAGCCTCAGCCCAGCTGCAGGGAGCTGCACTGTGCAGAGAGTCCTGCCTGCCTTCATTACACATTTTTTGTGAGCAGGGCATGGCTGGGGCCGTTCACATTTTTGCACAAACAATAGGTCCCATCTTCCTTGTCTTGGCAAACAAGGGCTCCAAGAGGCCTCCACATCCTCCATCTCCTCAAGTGATGGCTGCTTTGTTTCCCCACGATAATTTCATTATTCTGTTTGAATACATTTATATGTTGCTAAGCCACACATAGCAACATGGATCTTGTCTCCACAGCCCAGCCTTCCTCTGATCGATACCGAGTAATTCTGCAATTCTCACCATATTGTGTTACATAAGCTTGGTTTGAAATAATAAGGAATTTATGAGTCTTTGGGATTCAAAGCCAGAAAAGCACCTAAGTGTCGTGGGGGGAAATGCAGACCACATCCATGCTAACTCTGCTGGGCTAACTGGTGGGATCCCCACGGCCCTTCCTGAGGAGTCTCTTGTGTACCTGTGGAGGAGATGCAGCCGTGGGGCACCAGTGCTTCCTGCCATGGCTGGTGTGTTCCTTAAATCCCATTTAAAGCTCGCTGTTCCATGCTCTCAGCACTGGGTGCTGTGCTAAGGCTGACGACTGAGCAGGGAAGAAGAGGTTTCCTTACAGCCATGGCCCTGTGCATGGAGGCTGCTTTGGCTCCTGTCACAAGGATCGTGTTTCAGGGACCCCCAAAGGGACAGGGGCATGTCTGGGGTGGCAGAGCTGTACCACTGACAGGCAGGGCTGGCTATGCCAGCCTGGTGCCACCTGCACCCAGCTCTGTCCTGCAGCAGGTTTGCACTGGGGGATCTCACCAGCTCTCCCACTGCCCTGGGAGGGACCCCTGCCCTCCCCTGCTGCCAGCGGAGCTGAGACCTTCTCTCTTTTGCTTTAGGTTTCTGAGAAGTTTCCGGGTGACGAGCCTGCAATGCAGAGGGTCCTCCAGCAGGAAGCATGGCAGGTCAGAAGAGCTGGCTTCCCTTGGAGAGCTTCCAGCCTGGGCAGAGCCATCACCCTGCACTCCTTCCCAGCACCACATTCCGCCAAACCAAGGCAGGGGCAGTGTGGGGTCCCATGGGGCTTCATCCACTGCTGATGACTGCCCACAGGCACTCCACAGGCAGGTATTGTGTTCTGGGGTCCCAGGGCAGCCAAGGCTGGCCTGGGGCAGCACTGCCACACGTCCCTGCAGTGGCCAGCTCTCGTTGGTGCTGCCTGAGGGAACTGGAGCAGCGGGATGGAACAAGCCCAGCTCTGCCCGGGACAGCCGTGCCCAGGCAGTGCCCACAGCGCCGTGCCGGTGAGGATGGAAGCAGCCCTGAGCTGGGGCAGGGCTGGGGACAGGCTGTGTACAAAGCACATGCACAGGGAAGCCAGCAGCTGGCTTCGAGCCTTTTCTAAACCAGCTGACATCAATAGCATCTTCTGCTGTTTAGGACAAAACTCCTCTCCCCTCTCCTGCTTGGGTTCCCACAGACTGGCCTGGCCCCTCGCCAGCTGGGCACTGCTTTCCTTCCCTCTTCTCCTATTACCTCTGTAGTGTTTAGAACATAGAAAATGTGCTGGGTTTTTCCTGATTATGACAACAGTAAATTCTGATTTTAAAGACAACCTCCTGTACTTGTTGCACTGTGTCCAAGGGAAGGGGCTCAAGTCTGGCTCTGTGTGCCTGAGCCCAGGGAAAGGGCTTTGGCCATGGTGCAAGGACCAGGGCACTGCCCACTAATTGCCCATAAATGTTGCTGTTCCTGCGCTCAGTTGCAAAACACTTTAAGAATCACTACGGCAATTCCCAGCAGCACTTTCAACCAATCTGAGTCCCCAGTGCCCAGAAGCAAAGGCACCAGCAGCCCCCCACCACAGCCACCCTGTCCCACAAAGGCAGGTGGGACAAAGGGCCCAGGAGTGCCCCCACAAACACCCAGCCCTCCCCATGCCGAGCACCAACCACAAGGGTTAGAAAAGCCAAAAGAGACAAAGTTTGCCGTTTTAAATGAACTGCAAAATTTATTACAGTGGTTTGCTCCTGACAAAGAAGTTGGTAACCTTCTGCCTGGGAAGGAAGGGGGAGGAGTGGGGAAGGGCAGGGATGAGAAGGAGGAAAGGATGTAAGAGACAGAGAGAGAGACACTTAAGGGCACTTTTCATTTTCTGAAAATAAAACGTCTTTTACCTCCCAAAACATTTTCTCCAGTTCTTTAAGTTCACAAAAAGAAGAAAGTGAAACCAAACCACTGACTTCAGGAGGAAAATGCACAAATGTGTTAAAGCAGAGACAAACATGCTCTTTCTTCTGTGTCTAACAAGCTTCACAAACTGTGGCTCCAGGTGCAGCCTCTGTGGCTCCTCAAGGCTCCGGCAGAGCTGCAGCAGCCCCTGGGCACCAGGACATCCCTGCCCTGGGGGACAAACCTCAACGTCCCCGGCCATGCTGCAGGACCCCCAGAGCTGGGGGTCTGTGGGGCAGGGGCTGTGCCAGCCCCAGTGATGGGGCAGAGGAGAGGAGAGCACGGCTGAGACTGAGAGAAAGCTGCAGTGAGAGTCCAGCATGGCCCAGTCTGGGGGCTGCGACCCCCAGTGCTCCCAGTCCTGTCTGTGAGCCTGATCCCATGATGGGACAGGAACAGAGAGCTCTTTGCTCGTGGCTTCAGCACAGCATTTGCTGTCTCCTGGGGCCATGGCAGAGCAAAGGAGGGGGCCAGGAGGCCCAGCATGAAGTGCAGGACAATCCTTATTCCTCCTTACCCACTCAGCAGGTGGGCACTGCTGAGCTCCCCAGGTTTGCCCAAGATCCTGGGCACATGCTGGAGCTTGCACCTCCCTCCTGCACGGCTGCTCTGCCACCATACCTGTGGGGAGGACTGAGCTGTGCTGCCCCTGGGCAGCTCTGGGTACTGTGGCTGCCATGGAACTGCTGCTTCCAGCACCAGCAGGCATTAGGAAGATGCACCTCAGCTGAGGATTCAGCACTGCCCATCCCTGCCTGCCCTCTCTTGGCCAGGACACAGAGCTGGCAGCAACTGGGACCCGGCCTCTGCACCCTGGGATGCTGGAACAGCTGCATGGGGCCAACATCTCCAGCCCAGCCCCAGCATTCTGTGTGGATTTCCTGCAGAAATCCCCCACCTCTGTGTGTTCTCTGGTGCCTGGAGACACCTCAACTGCCATAAAACCACAACCTGAAGGGGTTTCACCTCCCCTCTCTCCTGCCCTGTGCACGAGGGGCCCTGAGACATGGGCAGGATTGGGAGGGATGGCAGCAGTAAAGAAACAGCTGGTGGGGGCAGCAGGAGAGGAGCAGAAACAGGAGAAAAACCGGGACAGGCTTTACCCTTCCTTGGTGCTGCTGGGCCGGGTAGGCAGGTGACAGGTCTGGGCACCAGGCGTGCAGCGGAGCCAGGGGTCAGCACTGCCGGCAGCCAAGCCACGGCCCTGCAGCCTCAACTGTCCTTGCTGTGAACGAAACCTGCTGGGGCCTTTCCAATAGCAGAGGTTAAATAGCATCGCTGAGGAAGGCAGGGTGGGAGGCGGCACCTGCCAGCTCCGGGCACCGGTCCTGCCCCTGCTGGAGGCACCGCGGCGCTGCCGGCTCCTGCTGGGGGCCGCTCAAGTCCGCTTGGCGTGCAGCATCTCGATGAGGAGGTTGTTGCAGGGCACCTCCCCGCTCAGGTGCTTGTGGTACAGGTACTCCTCAGCCTGCAGGCTCAGCGCCCGGACCTCCGCCAGCCACAGCAACAGCTGGCGAAACTTGTCCGTGGAGTGGGGGTAGTGGCAGACCGTGTACTCCAGCAGCGCCGCGTTGGCCTTCTCCTGAGCATCCTTGGCCAGAGTGTGGTTCTCCAGGTACTTCACGTCTGCAAGAGGCAGAGTGGGGATGAAACGGTGCCAAACTCACTTGTCTGCCCCATCTGTGCCACACCGTGCTGGGTGAGCCAGGAGGGACCCACACTCCTGGCCAGTGTCTCTTGTGCATAAGCACACAGTGCAGGAGGGGTCCCACACCCCATCCCTACCCAGCCACGGGGTCCCATCCCTACCCTACTCCCCAGGCCTTCCCTGATGCTGAAGACAGATTCCAAACCCCCTGGCAGTAGGACTGGTGTCTCCCTGCCCTCGCTGCCCAGGAAGCTGCAAAGCCAGAAGTTGTTGCCAGCTGTGCCAACACATTGGGAGTCGCTGCCATCGGCCCTCTTTAATTCCCAAAGGTCGAGGAAGCGGCTGAATTAATTCCCTGATAAACCTGGTCTTTCCAATGTGGCAACCAGGCTCACCAGCCTGGAAACCCTAATCCTCTATGCCTCGCCAGGGCCACAGCAGCTTCCCATAATCCTGCTGCCAGCAGGGTAGGGAGCAGCTCAGCAGCTCCGAGGTGCTGGCAGGGTCAATCGTCCCTGCACGCAGATCTCGGTGGCTTTAGGGAACCAGCGCTGGGCATTGCCTCAGCACCACCTACAGCTGCACACAGCCATGGTCCCACAGCCCTGCCCAGCAGAGACCTTGCTGCCAGCCCTGGCACAGTCTGTCCAGAGCAGGTGGATTTAGTGGATTTACTGTGCAGGACGGTGGGAGCACTGCCTCGGTCACAGTCCCACTGGCTCTGCTGCACACAGACCCTGATGCATGGCCAAACTCCCACTCACAGGCTGGAAATGGGGGAATCTGGGCACAGGGTCTGGCCAAGGCAGCTGGGAGTTTGGGGCTCCCTGGAAGGGCTTGTGGCACCCAAGGCTGCCGCAGGCCAGCAAAGCTGGGAGCCCCGGGGTCAGAGCCGGGAGCGGAGGCGGGGTCGGGGGGACTGCGGAGCCCCGGGGAGGGGAGGCACAGCACGGCCGGGGGGCCGGGAGCCCCCAGGGAGCCCTAACCTCGGGCCGTGCCCATGGCCAGGGCACTGCGGGGGCAGGCACAAAGGGCACAGGTTGTGCCAAGATGCAGCGGATCACATCACCCTTCCCTTTTCACTCTGACGGCACATTTGCTCCTATTGTCTCCTGCTACCCGGGTTGTTGTTATGAAATCTCTTTATCTGCATAAGGTTATTGTGCATGTCATTAAAAAAGAGAAGTTATATTGATAAATGTCAAATCTATCCCCTGAGTTGGCTCAACAATAGCTAGTTCTACTCGATGAACTCACCTGGTTCTCTGAAAGACCCTATTCACTGTTTAATTGAATATTTGAATAATCTTTTCATTCCTGCAAGGAATAAAGAATGTTGTCCAAATAACATTGACTCACTTCATTTAGAGACACTGCAGCAGTTGCAAAGACTGTCCTGTGACAAAGCCTCCCATCACACATACAGATATGCCTGGGATTATTTCTATGCCCTCAAGTGTTCTTCCTATTCACAGCTCCTTTTGTTTGGGAGAAGCTGCTGATAAATTGCAAACGCTTAAGGGAATGTGGGCTATAAAAGCCTCTCTTCCTCCCCTCCCCAAGAGTAGCTGCTTCATGAATGTAAGTCATGAAATCGAATGATAGGTCAATCCATTAAGGCTCTATTAAGCCCTTCTGTAGAACAAAGCTAACCTGTGCCGTCCTCATAAATATTGCTATTTTGAGAAGCCCTAATTTTAATTAAATCTCTTTACCTGCTCAGGAGAGAAATCTATTTAGAACTCAAATGGCAGCTCTTGTGAGCAGGGCTTGGCTTTGACTGTGCTGTGGCAGAGTGGTAAATGTGGAAATTCTCTTGTTAAAGGCAATTACATCCTGCACATAATACACAATCCCGTCCTCTACAGCTGAGCCTACGAAGGGCAAATTACTCCAAGTGAGCTCTGCAATATGGAGAGAAAAAGTTGCTTTTGGGGCAAAATGATGTACGGGAAAACACAGCTATTGGATTCCACGCCCTCCCTGCGAGCCGCTGCTCTGGGGAAGCCTGGGGGGACCCCTCTCCTGCTCGCTGTGCTGTGCCCTGCCAGGGGACACAGGGGAACAGCACCTCCCCTCCTGGGCTGAGAGCTCGGAGCAGCCCCCGGGGAAGGTCCCGGCTCGGGGTAGGAGCCCCCCCGGCTCCTGCATTTCCCAGCCTGGGCACTGTTTGTGCCACACCTTATCACTGCCTGAGCAGCGAATTATCGCGTCGCGTTTCTCCGGGTTCCTAAACAGCCCCGGAGGAAAGGAAAGCAGAGGGAGGAGAAGCTGCAGGTGCAGGACGAGACAGCAACGCAGCTCCCACCGCCGGTCCCTGCAGATGCAGAAGTGCGAACACAGAGCCGAGGCATTGGAGCAGGGACAGGGCTGGGATGGGGACGAGGACGGGGATGGGGACAGGTCTGCCACAGCCGGCGGTGGGCTCACCGTGCCAGCAGCAGCACTCTGCTGACGGGGATCCCAGGGGCAGGAGCGGGCTCTGCCGCCCAGGCTCGTCTCAGGCTCCGGCAGCAGCGCCCGCGGCTCGGGTTTATTTTGTCTGGGTGAGGTGGGAGCGTGTGAACGCGGCGGCCGTGCCCGACCGCAGGCTCCGGGCTGAGCCTAATCGGGAGCGCAGGAGCCCCTGCCCAAGCGGCCTCTGTGACGCAAATCCCGGGAGATAGGGCCGGCCCGGCCGCCGCTGTCAACACTCCTGTTTTCCCGGCCCTATCTGCGCTTGTTTCCCCGCCCGGCGCGATGGGCGAGTGACCAAAACAGGCTCCGCTTGGTCACGGCGGTGACAACGTCCCCTGCAGCTGGAGCAGAGCCCGGCCCCGCAGCGGAGACGCTTTGGGTCCCGGGTGAGAGGGGGACAGGCAGGTGCCAGCTCTCGCTCCTGGCTCCTCGTTAAGTCCCCTCTGTCTCACAGCGTGTGCCCCCTCCAGCCGCGCTCCCGGCCCTGAGCCCCAGCGCCCCCCCAGCCGCACTCACCCAGGCTGAAGAGGATGAGGAACTTGAGGCAGACGAATTCGTGCCGATCCACCTGGAGCGAGTGCAAGTGCAGGACGAGCTCCTGTGCCCGCAGCACCAGCGTGTTGAGGATGGAGCCGGCCTGGGCTGCGATGGCCGACATGTCCACCTGCGGGGACACGGTGGCATCAGCTCTGGCGGCCCCAGCCCCAGCACAACCTGCTGTAGGGCACCTCACACGGGCAGGAGCCAGGTCCAGCCCTGAGCACGGACTGAGAATTGGGGGTGTCAAAAAAAGAGTGATGGGTGACACCATTTAAAATGGGGAGCCCTTCACATGGTGCTGGAATTGAAGGCACCACATCTCCAAAAGCCACCTCCAGGGAGGGAAGGGGCTCCTCCTCCCATCCCACCGCTGACAGTACACGTGGGGCTGTTGATCTCCCACAGGAATTATTATTCTCCAGAACCAGGAGCTGTGTGGCAGGATGGGACAGGACGGGACTTCCTGCAGAAGCAGACCCAGAGTGTAACACCACCTGCCTGCCCTAGGCTGAGTTAGCCACACTGGGACAAAGGAAAGAAGTCACTCCATTCCCCCATGCAGCCCCTGCCCGTCCCCACTGCCCCTCCACAGTCCCAGAGGCCGTTTCTCACCTCCTGGCCAGTGACCAGCAGCACGCTGTGCTCCTTGCCATGCTGCAGCTGCCGGTAGATGTGGTCAAACACCAGCAGCTCACTCCAGCAGTTCTGCAGCAGCTTCATCTGGTCACCCACCTGAAAGAGAGCGGCAGCAGCAGGGCTGACATCCACCATGCTGCAGTGCACAGCACCCACCCTGTGCCTGGCAGGCATCCCATGGGAGGGGGGTCCCCTGGGGTGAGCATGGAGAGCTGGAGTTGCACCCCAGAAAGGGCAACCCTAGGCTGGAGGAGAGGAGATGAGCAGGTGGTTTTGCAGAGCTGGCTTCAAAGCAGCTCAGCATGCTTCAGTGGCACTTGCTGGCCCTTATCAGCACGTCTTCCCCCACCCCAGGCACAACCTCCCCAAATCGCACACAAATTTTAACAAAATGACCACGGGAGGGACACGGGGTGGCTGCACAAAGAGCCTGTGTGTCCAGACAGCCCCTCTGGATACTTTAAAATGAAAGAAGACAGTGCCCATCCTCGACTCCCTGCCCAGGGTGGCAGGTCTGGGGGGGCAGCAGGGCCGCGGGGGAGCTGCCAGGCGCGGGACATGGCTGTGCCCTGCAGCTGCCAGCCCGGCCCTGCCCACGCACCAACACGCACACTTGTGCCCATGTGCTGTGAGTCTGTGCCCAGAGAAACACCTGGCACTGTCCCTGTCAGGAGCTCGAGCTGGAAGGGCCCCCAAAGGTCTCACAGGGCACTGGGCACTGCAGGCAGCACCAGGCGGGGTGAGCTGCCAGAGCCAGCAGCTGCATTTGGAAGAACAAAAAGCCCCCAGAGCTGTGGCAGGATGTAGGGCACGCTGCCTTCCCCACCCTCCTGCCAAGAAGTCCCATGGCTCATGGGCTTCATCCCCTTGGCACTGCTCTCCACTGAAGCCCAACTCCTTTCCACAAAGAACTGAACTCCTGCCCTGCCTGGGCTCCCCTTTCCTGCAGGGCCAGTGTAGAGACAGGGCTGGGATTACGGTCCTGCCTCCACTACCGCCCTGAGGAGCAAATCCAGTGCCAGCAGCCGAGCTCGAGCTCTGCAGGGCCATTGTGCTCCCCTGTTAATAGAGGGAAGACAGATGCAGCATCACAGGGCTGGATAATGCCCTCGTTTTGCTGAAGAGGCTGCAATAAACCCACACTGGGAGATTGCAAAAGGAATAGAAGCCAGATGAGAAAGAGCTTTATGGTCTCAGAGCCGGCACCCCCGCGAGCCGCTGAGGGCTGTGGGTGGCCAGAGCAGGCACGAGATGAGGAAGGCAGTGATGGTGGCTGGGCTGTGGCACCGCTGCTGCCCACCTGCGCTCACCCCTCAGCCCCAGCGCAGCAGCTGCCGGTCGTGGCTCAGCACCACAGAGCGTGAGGCTCCCGGTCAGCTGCTTGACAAAACCCTGGGGAAAAGCTCATTCTGCACTAAACCAAAGTGGAGACTCTCTGCAGCCGTGGCCACCCCTGCCCAAGGCGAGTGGCCGTCTGTGATGGTGGCCAGCCCGAGCAGGGAGCTGGGGCCAGCCCAGCTGCACGATCCCGGCCGGTGCCGAGCGCCTCCGCTCTGGCTCAGTCAGGGCGTTGTTTTGGAAGTTCTTTCCTGTGCCTCATTCCTGAGCGGGATGAGCTCCAGAAGAGACAGAGAGAAGGTTTTGCCTTGAAAACCATTTAGAAAAATCAGTTTTTCCAAAGAAAGCACTTCAACAATGTTGAAATCTTATTTTCTTCCTTTAAAAATTGCTAATCAGCCTCTCCCAAACTCTGAGGGATGTTTGGCTCCCTCCCTGAAGCCCCTCAGCAGCACATTTCACCCTCCATGGCTGCTGTGGGGCTGCTCCTTTGCCAGCACGTTCCACAGGGCCGCAATGCTTCCCGGGAACGTCGCAGTCACCAGAGCCACACGGCCCTGCCATGGGGACAATGTGCTTGGGAGCATGGTGGGGTGGGCTGGGGGCTCCGTGGGCCAGCCAGAGCTGGCTGGGGTGCGTGGAGCTGTCCCCAGCAGCAAGCCGGGTGTCCCCATGGCCAGGCTGGGTGGCAGCAGGCAGCCCCACGGCCCCACTCCGGCTGCGGGGGGGCTCAGGCTGGGGTCACCGGGCTGCCCCCCACCCTGGCCAGCCAGGAGCAGGGGGCTGCTAATGGAGGGGCACTCAGAGGCAATCAATCCTCCCAGCCAGGCGGCAGCACGCTCGCTGTTAAAAGTTAAGCAAAGGATCTTCCTCTTTTAATGTCAAGGCTTTTCCTCGGAGTGCTTTATCAAAGGCCTGATGTAAGCTGTCTTTGAGAGGCAATCCTTATCTTTTCTTTAAAGCGAGCATTTAACCCATTCACAAAACACGCGGTGAAACCCTCCCCACGCTGGAAGAGCAATCCCTGATGGGCTGCAACCCACAGAAAAGGCAGTTCTCTGTGGGAAAGGGTCTGGGATGGTGCTGGAGGGGAGGCAGGGCATGCAGAGGCAGGGATGGTGCTGCCCAGGCACAGGGCTGTAGGACCTGCATGTGTTTTAAATCTTCTGCATAGTTTTAAATCTTCTGCAACCTTCCCTGTGGGTTCATAGGTACAAGGTGAAGAAGCCCCTGCAAGTGTCAGGGCTCCCCAAAATGTGCCCAGGCCATGCAGGGATGACGCAGCCCCACAGTGAGCACAGTGAGCTCCCGCCCCAGGGACCGCTGCTTTAGGAAGGAGAGTGACCCACCAGCAGCCCTTCTTTGGCAGGAAGCCCTGAGCTGGTCCCAGGACATCCATCCCCAGCCATGGGCACAAGCAGCACTCAGGGTGGCACGTCCCCACCACACAGACACCCTCCAGGCCTCCTCCCAGATCTCGGGTGCAGCATTTGCCCCACACCCCTCTGGCAGATGTGTGGCACATCAGCACCCTGAGCAGCCCTAGCAATTACTGAGTGCAAGCAGGACCCATCACCTTGGCCACCGAGAAGTGAATTGGTGTCCAGCAGCCACCCACAATGGACACGCGTCCAAGGTGTTAATGGCCAGCACAGGTCCCCACTGCCCTGCCCAGGTACCACCAAGGTATGCATCCCAAAATAAATAACCATCAACATCAGTGTGGCTAGCCCAGGATCCCCTGTCCCTGCTGGCTCCCACGCTGCTGCAGTCCTGGCTGCAGGGGCAGGGCTGCGCTGGCCGGGACACCACAGGCAGGGAAGCGTCACATTTCCCCCAGTGCATGGGATGCTGAACATTGCTGCAGCATCCATGACCAGAAGGAGATTTTAAATCTGCCAAAAAACGCTCTGGCCACTGGCCAGGAGATGGGGTCAAGATGACCCACATGTTAAAGGCAGAGAAGCAACTGACTGCAAATAGGCTTTGTCGTGGCTCTGGGATCTCTAAGCACAACTGAGGGAGAGCAGCCCAGCAGACAGAGCCAGTGACCACAGGGACCTCTGGGTCTGTGGGAATGGTTCTGCTCTCAGCATCCCCCCCCATCACTGGAGCTTGCCTGTGGATGGGAGGGCAGTTTGCCCCAGGCCCTTGGCACAAAAGGGCTGAGGAAGGGGTCGGCATCATTCCCTGCGGCTGCACTGTGCCCTTCCACTGGCGCAGGGACCCGGCGCACACCCAGCCTGGCCTGGCCTTCGGGCTGAAACCGTGGCAATTTGTTTAACATTCCTGGCTGCTCATCCCAATCTAAAGGTCACTGCAACCCTGTGTACACGATATTGATATGTAGGTATGGCAGTGACACCTATATAAACCAGGCTGTGGGAGACATGTGTGTACAAACCACACCAAAACCAGACACAACGTGAGCATGCAAGCGTGCAGGCGTGTGTGCATATCCCTCTGTCTGTCTCTCTCCATATACATATAAAAAAATTACATCTGAAAGGACAAAGTTGCCTGAGACTCACAACCCAACAAAATATATTTCACCCCTGGCCCATATTTTTCTTCCTGAAAAGATGCTGCAAATCTTCCCTCAGTCCTGACACATCTCATCTAGACTCAGTTAAAGTTCGTATTTATGGGCGGCAGCGCTGACCTCTTCCACCTCCGCCCGCGCGGCCTCGCGCCGCTGCTGCCTGGCCGGCCCTCGATAAACAAGCGGGCCCCCAAATCCCCCTCTGCCGTGCAGCGTTATTAGTCTTGCCTCCGAAGGCCAGCGCAGTCCGTAATTCTCCTCCTGGTGACACGAGATGAGCGCCGCGACATCAGTCTCCCGGAGGATTGGCATGGGGACCCTCGTTTGTCAGTGGCAGACTGACAGAATTACTGGCCCTTAAATGAAACGATATATCTGGGAAGTTAAATCTGTTTTCAATCTGACTGCCCCGCGCCTGCGGGCGGACGTGGCGTGTGAGCCGATGTCAAGAGGCCATTAGCCCGTGGCCCCCCTCCTTCCCTGGGCGCAGTGGTGGAGCCAGGGGGGCTCTCCCCAGTGTCCCCCAGCCCAGCCACCACGCCAGGAGCGTGGAGACAGCAAAGCACCCATTCTGGCCCTCAGCAGAATGGGAATGGGAACAAGACTGGCCAGCTCCAGGGGAAATTGCTCCCACTCTCCCTGGGCAGGGACTGAACCCTGAAAATCTGAAACCCTTGTCCCTGAGGATTTGCTCCTTCCTCTCCAGTCTCCCTGTGAGGCTCAGGGGAGAAGCCAGATCTCTGCTAACAGCCCTGTGGAAGGAGCATGGTGGAGCTGCATGGCCTCAGGCAGGGCAATCCATGATGGGGCAATCTGCCCCCACCCACCCTTCTCACCTGGCTGCACCTCCTCCCCGTGTAGTGCCAGCCTCCACGATGCCCTGGAGAAGTGTCCCAGTGGTGCCTTTCCAGCCTGGCTCCCTGCACTGGCCTCAGCCAACAGCCCTTCCCTGCTGGGGCTGGGGACCTTCACACAGACCTTCCCAGGGCATGGAGAGGGCTGCTGGCATCCCTGCCCTGAGAAGCCCCAAGATGACTGCTGCTGCCATCGATCTCGGAGATTGCGATGTTCCTCCGTGCTGGCTTTAGGGCAGAGCCATAAACCCTGTGCTAGCAGGAGTTCATTTACCGCCCCAGCAGCTGTTTCCTTTTATGTGCCAGGCAGGAACAGGAATGGGGATTCAAGATCTCAGACCTACTCCTGCTTCCCACTGGCTGCACTCCCATGCCTGAGGAAAAGCCTCCCCCCTGCCCAGGGAGGATGAGCCATGTGGGGCGGGCAGGGGCAGAGACACAGAGGACATCAGGCACCTCCACTCTGTGCTGGGCTCAGCACTGCTGGGGCTCTGTGCACAGGAGGGAGCCAAGGATGGAGATGCTGCATTCTGCCTCTCCCGCTGGAGCCAGGGTGAGCTGAGGGGTGCTGCAGTCCCCAGCCCTGGGAGATGCTGGGAATGCACCCTGCAGTCACCATGTGGATAAGACAAAGAGCTGGAGCCCCCAGGATGGAAGCGATGGATGTGGGCACCCGCTGAGCACCAAACCCCACGTCCTGAGCACGGCAGGGCATGTGCCCTGCTCCCTACAGGACACTGGTAGCTCTGCCCAGGTGAGGCCTGTGGCACTGCCATCCCCCCCAGAGTCCCACGGCAGGAGGAGCACCCGCCAACACCGATTCACACAGGAACAGCCTATTTTGGTGGCACAATCACGCTGACAATGGAGTTACAAGGCTACACAACTATATAGCTGGGAACTGAATTTACACTGTTTACAATATCTCCTGCAAAACAACAACCACCCTTTTCCCAAAATCCAGGCTGGACACTGATATGATTGAAACAAGCCCAGCCCATCCTTACAATGCCATTTCCTGACACTGTTCTGGCAGACAGGGGCTATTTTGAGCCACAAGGCTTGAGCACACTCAGCCCCATGGCACCTATGGCATGGGGAAGAGCCTGGTCCTGTCCTACAGCACAGTCTCACTGGAAGAAGGTGATTTTGGCTAGAGACAGACAGCATAGTCTCATGCTGGAAACACAAGAAAGAACCTGAGTCTCATCACGGCTGCCCCAGGATGTTGCTCTCTGGGTTTTGGCAATATTGCAAAATTTTCTCTCCCATTTTTGCACCAGTTTGGGATCTTAGGTCAGCCCAGAACATGGATGGAAGATTTCTGAAACCTTGGCAAGGTGTGCAGGATGGCAGAAGCTGCTCCAGCCCTGCAAACCCTCTCTGGGCCCCGGTAATGTTCAGGGACATTTGCCAGAGGGGATGTTTTGGCAGGATGGAGGTCAGCTCCATGTCCCCCAGCCGGGCACACTCATGGCTGCTGGCAGCAGACAGGGCTCTGGAGCAGGCTGGGGCTGCCCTGGCTGCCTGGTGCTAATAGCACCCACCTGACCACATCGATTTTCCTCCTAAAGGCAGAGGAGAGAATTGTCTCAACTATAATTCCTCAACGTTACATTTTTCAATTATATCTTGAGCTTGACACCACAGTCACTCTGCCGGCGATTGCCGCAACACCTGTCCCCTCTGTGATGAATCTGAAACCATTAGCCCCACACGACAGTGGGAATCGCTCCGGCATCGCAGCCGTGCCCCGGCACCTCCAGCCCTGCCGTGCAGGGAGCTGGGAGCAGGACTGGGATGTGTCAACAGATCCGAAGTGATGGTCCCAGGCCCCAGGTGCTGCCCTGTCCTCACAACATTTCACCTGCAATCCTGCCCTCAGCCACATCCCGGCCTCACATCACGGCAGCGTCAGTCCTGCCCGCCTCCCACTGTCCCCCAGAGCAGCATCCATCCCACTGACAGGTCCTACCTCCAGCTCCTTGAAGAAGATGCAGCTCCGTGCCCACTCCACGATGGAGAAGAGGGTCTGGTCTGCCATCTTGCACATGAGGCCGAAGGTGCTGAGCTTCTCGTGGCGGCCTTTGCCCTGCTCTTGCTGCAGGCAGGACAGTATCCGTGCCTTCACCTGGGCCTCCTCGGGCTCCAGCTGCAGCAGCTTCAGGATGACCTCAGGGATGTCAGGGGGGGAGCTGCTGGGGTAGGTCTCTGGGTACATGAAAGCAGGCACAGCCTCGTGGGCATTTGTGTAGTGGTCGGGGTACTCGGACTTGATGGTGCGGTTGGGGAAGGAGGGGTAGTGGTAGCCGGGCAGCGGCGCGTGGCCAGGCACAGTCATTCCCAGGGAGGGCGTCCCGTAGGGGCTGCGCTCGTAATCTGCAGGCGTCAGGGCGGCCGGGTTGGGCGGCAGGGTCTTGGACATGGCGTGGATGCTGTGGATGGTGGAGGACAGGCTGTAGTCACTCTGCACAGGGGACATGATTTGAGGCACCGTCTCCAGCTTGAAGCCGTTGGCACGGATCAGAGCTTTCTTCTGCTGCTTTAAGGCACGGTCCCGCTTGTACATGGGTCCAAACTTGTTCCTCCCTCCACGCATCCGGTCTGCACGGACAGCTGGAGACAGAGAGAGGCCAGAGACTGCAGTGAACCCACGTAGAGAGAGACCAGGGGCTTATGCAGGGCACAGAGAAGATGCTGGGGGACACAATTTAGTGGCAAAAAGGGCTTGGAGGGCATTGGGGAGACTGTCCCAGAGAGCCAAAGGCAGATTGTGACACTCCCAGCTCAGCCAATGTCACCCTCAGAGCCTCTGGGGGTTGCAGGAAAGGAAGAGACATTTGGCTTCCACTGCAAAATGAGCTGGGGTAATAAAGCAGCTTTCATTCCCTGTGGGTTGAGGGGAGAGCCCTTAAAGCCTGAGCAGAGGAGGGGATTTGATGCTCACTTTAGTTTAGCCTGGGGAGCGGCTCGGCCTGGCCTCGGCAGCATCAGGGATCCCCCCAGGGGCAGGGAAGGGGCACCGCTTTGTGGGGAGGGCGAGACCCACCTTGCTCCCCCACACCAACCTGTGTCACTGGAGCAGCCCTGGGATTTCCTTATTTCTGCAGAGCCTGGGACCCCACAGCCCCCTCTGGAGCCCGGTTCCTCCTGCCCAGGCTGCACGTTTGCCCTTTTGTGGAGCAGCACGGCTGGCAGGTCCCAGTGGATGCACTTCACCCCACCGGCCCCAGGCAGGAGGCTGCCAGCCCTGGGGATACCAGCCCTGGCAAGGGCTCTGCCAGAGTCCTCCGAGAGCTGCAGCAAAGGAGATGTTCCCACCAAATCAAAAACCCCCAAGAATCTGCCAACACGCAGGAGAGCAGGTGCTTCTCTGCAGAAGGAGCCTGTCCTGCAAGGCCTTGCTGTGCTCCGGGGGCTGCTACCCTGGCACCCCCTTGGAAGAGGCTCCCATGGCTGGAGGCAGGAGCTGGGGCTGGACGGCAGCGCAGGGGCAGGAGGAGCGCCGGCGAGAGCAGCCTGCAGTGAGCATCAAAGGCAAACCCCTCTGCTCGCTCGTGTTCCCGCTGACAGCCAGCGGGTCCTGCTTTGCCTCTCAGCTGTTACCTCTGCCTTTCTTTCGCCTACTTATCCTGGGGCTCACAGCCAGCCCCCCCGGAGAGCTGGAGCACCTCCCCAGCGCTCCCAAGGCAGGCTGGAAAGGCGGGAGCGTGGCCGGGAGCAGCAGCATTTCCAGGACGAGCAGGAATGTGCTCCCAGGAGAGCCGCCCTGGCTTCCTCCCTCATTCTTTATTCATGAAAACAGCATCTCACTGGGAGCGGGCTGCCAGCGGCAGCTTCTGAAGAGAGGGGTGCTGCGGCCCCTGCTCCCCAGAGCCGGCCCAGCCCCTCTGGGCAGCAGAGAGCTGTCCCGGGGCAGCTCCTGTCTCGGGTACAGGGGCGGTGCCCCCACTCAGCACGTGTGCACAGCCCAGCCGGGGTCCCACACAGGCAGGCAGGCTGGCAGCCCGGAGCCAGAGCACACTAAAACCCAAATCCCGCACCCTCTCGAGTGACATTATCCCAGCACGGCTCGAGGTCGGGCACAGTGACGCCCAGGGATCGCATCCCAAGGCAAACCCCCGTGACCCTGAGCAAGGGTGCGCAGGCAGAGACCCTGCTAGGGCTGCCTGCACTCCCACACACGGCGAGAGGTGCTCGCAGTCCGGTCTCACAAGCCCTCCAGAGGCAACCGCATACACCTCCTCCCCTCTCCCAGTAAGAACACAAAGGGAGAAAAGGCCTTTTAATTCCCTCCTGCTCTGCTTTTCCTGCCATTTGTGCTACACTTGGGATTGGGAACGACTTGCCATTTGTTGTGTTCCAGCTGACAGCAGAGAAGAAAATGATGCATCCTGACCTCCAGGGCAAGGGGGCCCAAGTGGAGCCGCCCAGGAAGCGCCTGCACCCCCAGCAACGTCCCCAAAACCATCTGCAGGTGACCTCCGAGCCACGTACCCACACGGTGGCAGGAGGGGTCTCCAGCCCCCTGCATCCCCCCTTCCCACTTGCACTGCTCTCATCCCAGTGCAGAGCCCTGCCTGGGGCAGGCTGCTGGCCAGGCTCTGCATCCTTTTGGCCACCTTTCTTTGCCTGGGCAGGAACGTGGAAGGTGCCATGGGTAGCGCCTGCAGGGTGCCCAGGGCTGTGGGCAGCCTTCAGCCAGCGCTGTGCTTCTCCTCACTGGCAAGTTTCGCTGCCACCTCCCCGCAGGCACCTTGAGGGTGCCCGTGTCAACACTGTGCTCCCAAAATCAATCACCTCGGGGTTGCTCTTGTCGTGTGGACCTGCAGACTAACCTCCAAAGCATCACCTCTGATGCCTTGCCCAAAAAGACTAGAAGCTGGAAAAGGGTGATCTCTTTTTCACCACAAAAGAGACGGTTCCATGGGAATATCGTCCTTGTCTGGGTGATCGTCTCGTCCGCCCAGCTCTGCTAAGGAGCCAACAGCAAGAAAACACACAAAAAAAGGCTGTTGGGACAGCTCTGGGACCAAAGAGCCTCCACGGTGTACACGACAAAAACTGCTGGAAAGGGACAGATTGAGACCATGCCTTTCCCCCCCGGGCACCCCAGGCACTGCCCCTGACCGTCTGTCCTAGGGTCTCCAGCCCCTGTCCAGCGCCCAAATCCCCCTGCCACATCGTTCAAAACGGCCAGAGCATGCACCGAGGGATTTAGGGCACCAGTAACTCCAGCCCAGGGAGAAGAGTGGAACCGGGATCTGTTTTGGAAGCTAGCCCACGGCGGGAGTTTGCAGGGGTTGAATTTGCAGCTCGATGTTGTGTCTTACTCCTGCGCTTCTGCTCGCAGGCTCCCACCCCGCTCCCGGAGCGAGCGGCCAGAACACGAAGGACTTTCCGATTAACAGCGCTGTGTCCCGAGCAGCGAGCCCGGCGGGCGAGGGGCTCAGCCCTGCCAGGGTCAGGCGGGACGGCTCAGCCCACTTCCACCCGCTGCAAAACGCAAACAATTTCGAGGGCGAAGTGGGGAGGGGGCGGCTGACTCTGGGGTGGGGGGCTCCTTCTGCCTCTGCTTTTGCTCTGCCGTCCCGTGCCAAAGACCTGACCCCTCCAATATATTTCGTTGCCGGATGCTGAGAATTGCAGAACCCGCAACAATCCCCGGGCTGTCGGGGCCCGACTCCGATGTCGGGATCCTCTGCGCCGACAGGAGAGAGGCGGCGGCTGTGGGGCTGGAGTCGCCGCCCCGGGGATCACAAATCCGTTATACTAAATGCCACCGAGAGGGAAAAATATAATTCGTGGTGGGTCTGCGGCAGTTTTATTGCGATCCCCATAATTTTTAACGTTTTTCCTTAAGTCTCGGCTTCTGGAATTATGTGCTTAAGGAAAACAGTAATTTATTTGCTATTTCCCAACCTTTCTGCCAGCAAAAAAAAATTCCTGGAAAGTTGAAGTCGTAGCAGCAGGAATCCCGGGGAAACAAACAAAATGAAACAAGGACAAGAAGGAGACGACGCGAAAAAAAGATTTTTTTTCTTAACTTGGGAGGGAAAAACGGAATCGAAGCGGCGGCGCGACTGACCGGTCCGGGAAGGTGGCGGCGGCGGGGACGGCGCGACCGGTCCCGGCAACTGCACGGTCCCCGCACGGTCCCCGCANGGGGCCTGGGGACCCGGCGGCCGGGCTGGGGAGCGGTTCGGCCAGGCCTCGGCAGCATCAGGGATCCCCCCAGGGGCAGGGAAGGTGCACCGCTTTGCGGGGAGGGCGAGACCCTCCTTGCTCCCCCACACCATCTGTGGGGAACAAGTCCCCCCAACCTCTCTGAGAGGCAGGACCTGCTGGGAACCAGGAGTCTCTGGGCTAGAGCAAAATTGACCATGTCTGGGCTGCTCTGCTCAGTGCACAGCCCTGGACCACCAGCTTTGTCAAAACATACCATTACCCCCCACCAGCTGCCCCTGCCAGCCCGGGAGAGCTTTGTGGGGAACACTGGGGTGTGCAGCGGCTCCTAAAATCTCCTCTGGGGCCACCACTGAGGGGATGAGTTTGGACCTAGCACTGGCCACCCCAGCAGGAGCACTCACTCCCAATGGTGTCCCAGTCCGCCTGTCAGCAGGTATTGAATCAATGCTTCACAGTTAGGGTTTCTTGGTGGAATGTTCCATGACGGCAGCAGACCAGCACAGGAGCACCCTGGCTCCTGGCACGTCCTGTTTATCAGGATGCTCCCAGGCCACACGCCGCGGCCCAGGACTTGGCTATGGGGATCTCGAGGCTCCAGCTCTGAGCCCGGCACTGGAGCTGAGCCCGTTCTGCAGGGCCAACCCACTGAGTCAGGGACCCTTCGTGGCTGGTGCAGAGTCTGTCCCAGCATGGTGGGAGCCTTGCTGCCAGCACAGCAGCTCTGGGGCCCGAGGCTCTGGGTGCCCGGAGCCTAGCACAGCTGGGGACTGCTGCTGGCAGTGCCCCACAAAGGAAAGGCATGGCTGATGGCCCCATACAGCTGATCCTGCCAGGCTGATCCTGCATGGTTTGTCTTGAAGGGCTCATCCCACAGATCTCATCCCACCCAGCTCATCCCACTCTCTCACACCACAGATCAGCTGCCCACGGGTGCAGTGGGTAGGAAGTGGCGCTGGCAGGGAGAGCGGCAAACAGGAAACGGGCTCAGCAGAGCATCACTCCAGAGCCACCAGGAATGGAGCCCAGGCTAAGAACAGCAGCAGAGCAGTCTGCAGTGTGGGTCAGCCACTGCTCGGCTGGGAAAGAGTGCTCCCACCACCGGCAGAGCCCCTTGGCCATGGCCCCCACAGTCGCCATGAGCTCCCGGGGGAGCTGCCAGGCAGCCATGGAGTGGGACCTGCCATCCAGGAAAAGGAGCCCAGGAGGGGCTCTGAGTTGGGAAAACTAAGCAAACACTGCAAGGAACAAAAGCAACTGAGAGCCAAAGGCTGTGATCCCTGCCAACGTGGGATGGGGCCAGGACACAGACTCAGCCAACCCCAGGAGTCAAGAGGGTCCCAGATGCCTCCCGTGCCCGTGCTCCTATGGGCAACTCCAAACCCTTGGGTGACCAGGGACCCCCAGGCACCACCAGCTGTGCTCCCAGAGCCCCTCAGCAGCCAGATCTGTCATTTCTGAGCAGCAGCTTGGCCACGGGGCCAAGGCTATGGCGAGGCCTCGCTCTGCTGCCTGTGATCTGCAGAGCCGCCATCCCCACACCCGCTGACGGGAAGCGGAGGCCCACACACAACTCCTGCTTCCTCGTCAAGCCCTGCCGCGTCCCCAGCTCCGGCCTTGGCTGCCACCATGCCAGGGAATGGCGGCAATGGCTGGGAGATGGGTGGGATGGGGGACCACGGTTCCCCCCTCAGACACGTACTCACCGTGAGGCGGCTGCACGGCTGCTACGCGTGGGGCCGGCGAGTGGGAGAGCCTCGCTCGGCCACCGGCCAGGAGCTGCGACCCGAGGAGCCTCCGTGGAGTGTGGGTACCGCTGCCCTGTCCACGGTAGGGTGGGGGATTTATGGGGACCCGTGTCTCTTGGGAAGGTGTTGGGGCTCTGGCTGCGCACACGCCGCTCCGGGCAGGACACCAGCCAATCTCCTCCCCATGGGGGCCAGGCTCAGCCAGGATGGACCCACTTCGGTGCCTTATTGGCTTCTGTGGCCACGTGACCATGCTGAAAAACATCATAATTAAGCTACAAAACACTGCCCATAAACTAGCATTAGAAAGTGACAGTGAAGATAAGTGGAACCCCTGCAGCAGATAAGGTGCCCCAGGAGGGAGACCCTGCAGGGAGGTGGGGGGCACCAGAATGTCCCAGCACCCATGGCTACCCTGATTTATGGCCCAGGGCAAGAGGGAGGGAGACGAGGGCACAGGGCAGGACACCTCTGGGAGGAACGTGAGCTCACCTCACCCGCCCAGCACTGGGATGCAGCCACAGCCTCCTCAGCCCTGAGTGGTCTCCTCTGCAGGGGAGGACCAGAGGAGGCTCCTCCACACACAGGGCCCCACTCCCAGGTCCCAGGGGCTCACAGCGTCAGTGGCCAGCAGCTCTTCATTTGCCACTGTCAGAAAGCCAGCGCCTCTGGGCCTGGGCAGCCATGCCTCGGCTGCGTTTTAGCCGTGTGTGATTCCCCGTGTTTTGCTGCCATGCTCGGTCCTGCCCACGGGCACTGTGCCGGCAGATCACGGCTTCCAATTGCCCTGTGCAACACAGGAACAGCAAAGCCAAGAGCGGGGATCTGCTCTCAGTGCCGGCCCCGTGCTCTGTCCATCCATCACCACGGTGTCTCCCCACATGTTTGCAGTGTCCTGCTCTCTGCTTTATCCCGCAGTGACGACAGCTTTGAGAAGGGGTGGCTGCCTCAAGCCCCACACCCAAAGCGAAGGCTGTGCTCTGCTCCGGCCAGGCGGCTGCTGGTAACCAGGGTAGGACAGCAGAACCCCCAGTCCTGGGCTCAGGGAAAGGTTCGAACTCTCTTGGTATCGGCAGAGCCCTGACATGGTGTGACAGAGGCGTGCCCTGCAGTATTCCCATGCAGAGTGAGGGAAGCAGTGAGCCTCGGGTGCTGAGGGGAGAGGAGTGGGAGTGCGGGCTGCACAGCCCTGCTTGTTTTTTCCTTGCTTTGCAGCTGAAGAGAGGAGAAAAACTAATGAAAACAGAACTCGGGAAGAAGCGCCAGGCCTGGAGTGGCTTCCGCCCCGATCCCCAGCAATTATCAGCCACATGCCAGATGTTCCGATGCGATGCCAATGTCAGAGAAAATAAATCTGTGTCGGGTTCAAGGTCCCTGCCGGGCCGGCACGCAGCGGCTCGCGGCTCAGTGCCGCACAAGGCGGGACAGAGCTGCGGGCCGGCCGCGGCCGCTTCCTCCTGCCAGGCATTGTTCCCCTGGGAAGCCCCGGCCTCACACCGGCCACTTGCTATTTTTGCAGCAAGGTGCTTTCAGGGGTAAATACGTCCCTGCCGGCCTTGGGCACTTTCCTCTGCGCGGGCCCTGGCCAAGGCTGTGGCCTGGCTCCTGCGGTGGGCGCGCGGCCGCGGTCAGGGCCAGTCATGGGCCGCGGTGCAGGCCGGCGGGGCCTGGTGGTGGCGTGAGGGTGGATTTCGGAGGGTGGATTTGGGAAGGCCACGCTGGAGTGACTGCACAGCCACCAGGTCAAGCCAGCTCCTGGCAGCCTTAGGGGTTCCCGGGGACAGCAAGAGGTACAGACAGGTGACATTTTGAAAGCCACAGCACCTAGGAGGGAAAGGATGAGGTGGGTGTGGCTTTTGGCACCACAGGATGTGCTGGAGAGTGGATGTTCAGGGCTGGGGATAGGCCACAAAGCTGCTGGCGTGAGCAGCGCTGTCCTGGCCAAGGGAGCAGCACGGCTCTGTGCCCTTGATGGGCCCAAGCACAGGCACATGTTACCAAAGCTCCAGCTGTGAGTTTGGAGACTGCCCTGCCCCATCTTCTTCCCTCGTGGCCACGACACAGCCGGAGCCTGCGGATCCACACCACCCACGGCGGGCAGCAGTATGCTTTGGCTCCTTGCTGGTGCTTAGCCTTGATGCTCAGCAAAGCATATCTCCTGCTCGGATTTTATCTCCATCCACTCAGCTTATCGGCACAGGGCAGCCCTCCTGCCTGCGCCACGTTCCCGGAGCGTGCCTGCAGCAGGTGTGGCCAGCACTACTGTTTGCCAAACGCCGCTGCCTGCCCGCAGTCCCTGACTCCAGGGCCCGCGCTGATAGTGCACGCGCAGCGAGGACTTGGGCGATAGCGTTCCCAATGACATTACCTTGTCCCCCGCATTCTTCCGATGCCACACACGCCTTCGCTCGGGGTGCGGGCGGCCCGGCCGTGGCGGTGGGTGCAGATGCTGTGCAGGCAGCACTGGGAAGTGCTGGTGGTCTCCTCCCGGGGGGACTCATTGACATATCAGTCACATAGTTCTGCATAATTGGGACTTGGATGCAGCCTCTCTTTATGTTTCCTCTTGGCAGTTGCCAACAACATGAAGCACTCCTGGGTCAAAATGACAGCCTTTTGTTTACTATTCCTGCTTATGTGCCTCATTTTCTTCAAGGATAAGAGCTCTTTATAGGAATCTTTATTGTGATGAGGTTAGCCTAGAGAAAGATTTCTCTCCAGCTTTCTCTCTCTCTTTCACAGCTGATTAGCAGGGTCGGCCCACTAGGACAGTGATGTGGAACACAGACCCAGCATTCGCCTCAGGGTCCCCCCAGCCATGAGTCATCTTCTCCAGCACAGCCCCAACCTGCTGGCCTCCCAGCACCCAGCCCATGGCAGTGCTGCCCTCCTACTCATGTCAGGATGCAGGGAGGGGATCCACAACCCAAATAAAAGTACTGAAAGACCTCAGAAGCTTGGACAGGAGCTTACCCAGAGCATACACCTTCTCTCCACAGTCTTACCAGCCCATCCATGGTGACCCACCCTTCATCTGACCTCTGCAGCAGTGACCAACCCCATCAGAAGGGTCTGCACTTGGCAAACTGAGATAGGAGAGACTTGTGATGAACCAATGGAGACCCACCAGTCTGCTGCACTCAGAACTCTGGTTTTCAGGTGTGAACTCCAAACAGACAGTGACTGGGGAAGGGATGAGGAGAGATGTGGGAGCAGCTAGTGACAAGATGGGGAGAGCTCATGGAATAGACACGGGCAGGGTGCACATGAATGGAGAACCTTCCCCAACTGTGGAAGAGGCCCCACAGGACCATCCCAGCAGATCTTTCACCCACTGCTGGACTGACTGCGCCGCTGCAGGGGGGTGACCCAGCTGACCCCACAGCCCTGTCCCAGCCCATGCCTATGGATGACACTCCTGGGAACAGTCACTCCTGTCAAGAGGAAAGCAGCTTACCCTTGAAAGTTACTTTGCGAAGGTCAAGAGTGGGACTGTGACAGAGCAGCCTGACAAACACATCTCCCTAAGTCCTTGGGCCCGATAATGTATGTCCCATGCAATGTTGACACTAGTGATCCACCAAAGATCAGGTTAACAAGTTTGACGTTAGTGACAGTGTGATTTGTTCCGTGCTGGCTCTGAATTCATAGAGCCGCTGGCCTTCAGTGATAAACTATTGCGCTGTGCACACGAGGCTGTGGCAGTTGTCACCCGCCGGAGCACGGAGATGAAAAGGAAGCAGAGCTCTAATCAAAATACAGTGGTCAGTAGGGGTTGAGCTGAAAATTAAAAGGTGCTGGTACTTTTCCCACTCCAGCCTCGCTTTCCAGGCAGCGCCTCATGGCAGCACAGGGTGAGGGGAGAGGCTGCCTCGTCACCTCGGTGCAGCTCAGCTTTGCATGAAGGTGAGGACAAACCCATCACCCCACGTGCACAGAGCATCCTCTGCAACCTCCCAGCAAGACCCACCACCACTGATCTTCAGGCCCTCCTCATGGGGAATACATCCCACGTGGCACAGTGCCCTCATCCCAGTTCCCAGCCACAGCAGCAGTCCCAAGGCCTTCCCCACACCCACAGGCCATTCCAGCAGTACAGCAACAGGCAGGGCAGGGCAGGGCAGGGCAGGGCAGGGCCACAGCCACCACCCACAGCAGCACTGGGCTCCCCCACCCTGGTGGTGCTCCCCACCCTGAGAGAGTGCCACCACCAAAACGGGAAGGCACAAACAGCCAGGAGACATCAGCGGTGCAGAACATTTCACATTTATTAGTTCATACAGCTAAACACTCACTAAACATGCATTCAACACTTATTGGTCACATTTCCACAGGTAGTCAAGTCCCAGAGCAGCAGAGCAGGGGCAGGTCGGGCTGACACGGACCCGCCGGCAGAAACATTCATTTGGTCGTAGCGCGGTGAGGGGCAGCTCACGGTGCCCGTTCCCCCACGGTGACACGGGGCCAGACACGCTCCTGCCCCAGCCTGGCTCTGAGTGTGCCAATGCTCACCGTGTGTCATGCCGAGGCAACATCCTGCTTCCCTGATTTACACAAGGGATTGTGGGAAAAATGAACGGCAGAAACCATCACCAGGAACGCTGCCAAGAAGGACCCAGCAACCGGGACTGACCCTCTTGGAAACATCCCTTGGACCACAAGCAGCAAACCTGACCTGCTGCTTGCCCAGGACAGACACATGAGGAGCTGCGAGGTCCTGTGGGGTCCCAGGTTACAAATGAAGCCTCTGCACCCAGGACTGAGCTGGAACCAGGCCTGGGGCTTGATGGGCACCGACAAAACCCGAACTGCCATGAGCCACATCCTCCCTGAGGAGGGACATAGAGCCCAGCCTCAGGCAGCAGTGACATGGAAGGGAAACACAACTCCAGCAATCACAGCCCCAGCTCCTCAATGGCAACAGACACTGGCAGTGTTTAGTTTTTCACACAATCCCTTTGAGATGATAAACAGGATGTCACACGAGGTAGTTTAGTTATGGAAACTGAGTCAATAATGTTATCAACTATTACAAGACATTTTATAAATTGAAAGAAAACAATGAATCACAAAAGGCTTTGTTAAGGTTGATCGTCATCTGGTCTCAATTTCTGTTTCTTTTTGCCCTTGGGGGCATTCCTTCTACTGAACCATGTTGCTTCTTTCACAGACTTGTCAGAGGGCAGCTCACAGGAGCTATTTTTAATTTTTTTTTTTTTCCAAGGGAAAGACACTGCCTGGATTGGCCCCAGCTTTTTTCCAGGCTGGTTTAAACTCAGATTTGCAGATCCTGGCTGGGTTTCAGCCCTTCAAACTTCAGCTCTCCTTCAGTGCTGGCCCTGTCTGTGGCTGGATGGGGCCGTTTGGACACTCATAGCAGCTGTAACCCAACCAGTCACACACCAGTGCCCTTCTCAAACTGACTGCCTACCACCACAGTGAGAAAGTTGTACTGATGAAAATTACGAATTCATAAGCAACAGAGTACAGAGCATAAGCAACTAGCTGCCAGGGACATAATGAGAAATTCCAACTTCCCCTTTTCTGTGAGCAGTCAAACATTTCACACCAAAGGCAGAGGGATGAGGTAATGCAGAAACAGAGCTGGTCCCCAGCTGCTGGGTGGTGCAAGGGCACAGCCTCAGACAGCCCCTGCACCTTCGGGATGCTCTGCCACAGGACCACGTCTGAGCCTTCTGCAAGCAAACTTCCCACAGCCAAACCCAAAGTTTTTCCCCCAAAATCCCCATATGGGGCTTTGGTCAGCTCTCAGTGGGTCCTCCAGACAAGTTGGGAAAGAAGCAACTGTTGCAACATCAAAACTAGGGTTTCTCTGGGTCACATTTTAAATACTTATCCCTGAGCTTCTGTGCATTGAAACAACACACCGTGAACCCAGAGAAACGCCACAGCTTGATACTGATAGCTATGCACTCCCCTCCATTTACACATCATCTAAAACCTAAAAATTAGTTTCATACTTTAACTAGTTCCCCAAGTTTCCCCCTTTCTCCTGCCTTTCATGTGGCAGGGATGATTGCCGCTTATTATCCTGAGAAATAACAACATTTTCACAGACACCGAGCTTCATAGCTTCAAATCAAAACCAAGAAGTAAGAAAGAATGAATGGGAAATAGCACATTCACAGAAGAATCTTTTTTTTTTCCTTTTTTCCTTTTAAAAAATGTAGTAAAGGTAAAAGAAATTCAAGTGTTTGTTTTTTTTTATAAAAAAAAAAGTTGGTTTGAAGGACAAGTCTTAAACTCCTTTACCTGAAGTGGCTGTGGGTCTGTGCAGAAGCCTGAGGAGCAAGGGCAGATCCTGCTGGCACAGGGAGGGACAGCAGCAGAGGCACTTGAGCCTTTGCAGGGGTGGGGATGGGGCCACCAAGGCCCCCACCAGCGAGAGCAGTCCAGTAGCCCTGCTGGCACCTCTGGGACCCCTCACTCTCATGGGCTCCCTCAAAGCAACACCCCAGCACTGGGAAAACGGATGGCACTAGAGTGGCAGCTCTCCTGTGCAGGTGCCCTGCAGCTGGCAACGCCACTGACCACTGGTCACTGAAAATGCCATGTTCCCCCTTCGGCCTGTGTGTGATGGGAGATGGCAAAAGGCTTAAGAATTAAATCTCTGGATTTAAGAATTACAGAAGAATCCAGATGCTCCCTGATGGCCCAAAGCATGCAGTGCCTCTGCAGAGGTGAGAACACCAAGGGCACTGGCACAGCTCCCAGCTGAGCAGCATCCAGTGCACACGGGGAGTGTGAAGTCCAGCTGCTCATCCCCCGGCCCTCTTGCAGGGCTGGACGTGCCCAGAACAGGGACTGGCAACTGACCCACACTGAGGGGTCAAGGCTCAGCCCACTTGGCAGGAGTCGGAGATGAACGGGAAGAAAACTCACTCACTTCCCAGGTTTTGTTGAGGGGTCTGGGACTGAGCCATGTGAGCAGGGACCCCTTCCAGCTGCTCCTCGGCAGCCTCCCCTGAGCACGTGAGCCTGAGCGCTTCAAATTTATGTCCCAAATCTCTGTTTGGATTAAAAGTAACTCTTCAGGTTTCTATCTGCACAGACGTTTTGAAGGAGAAGAGGGGGTCAGCCAGCCAATCTATCTTTCAAATCGGGGATAAAAATTGACTTGTCATGGCAGAAGATTCTACCAAAGACTATTATTGTTGATTGATTTCTCTATGACAGAAGGTCAGATAAGCAAGAGCAGATAGATACCAAAGATAATGAACTTCCCCCTAGTAGCATTAAGCACAAATAAAATATGAGTGCCTGTAAACTGAATGTTACGTGAAGAATGGAACAAAAATTCCAACCTTTCCAGGGTGTCCTTCAAACCAAATTCACAAATACATCTACCTAATGTCTCTAAATCTCTAGCTACATTCCTACTTTCTCATAATACCTGAGTTTGCAATGCAACACATTCACATTACCCTGTTTAAAAAATACAAGTCATTAGAGGACTTGGTGCAGAAGGTATCAGGAATGACTGTCTGGTGATTCCGTCTGGTCTGTTTGCTGCTTCCTTACCTGTCAGTTCAGGAAGGATTTTCTACTCCCTATGGCAAATGTGGATTTGGGAATGGATACTGCTGCCAATCAACCTTTGTAAAACTTGCTTTCTTCAACAGAAAGTGAACATTCATGTCTATTTGTCATCATAACTGGATTTAGGTTTTTGGTTGTTGTTGGTACAGCATTAGTTTTGGGAGGCTATTTTGGAAAACCATAGATTACTTTTGTTGGATAGCTGGCAACAAGATGACTGCTTTTATGTACACTAATTAAAACACTTATTCATCAACAGATTATAATAATTCAGTAACTGTAGAATAAAATTACTCCTATGCAATTTTAACAATTCCTTGAGTGTATAAATCAGCAAGCCAGAAATAACCCGTAGTAAAAAGATCATATCAAGCTATTTGAAAATTAAAAGCTGACAAATACATTCTAACTTACAAACAGATACACTAAAATCTTCCCCTGAACACGTGAGGTATTGGCTGCATGCAGAAGGCTTTCCTGAGAATACACGTCTCTCATTGTACTGCCAGAAAGTAAATGAGATTTATGGAACCACCTTTGGGTGCGAAGCTCCATCGAGCTGAGCTACTGCTGTGCCCAGCAGCTGTTACCCGTAACATCCTGCTTAAATAATGAAAAATTAACAGCTATGGACTTCTAGAAGGGGGAAACCGTTGAGCTGGGAGATGCCCCAGCGGGATGCCCGTGGTGAGGCAGCAGCAGGGCCCTGGCACACGGGGTGACCACGGCCACCAGCACCGACCAGGATGTGCCACACCAGCAGGTCACAGCCCCCCTCGGGCTGCAATCCAGGGAGCATCTGCTGGGCATGGGGAGGGAGGAAAAGACGACTTTGGTGAATGGGATTTTTCTCCTGCTCATCATCACATTCGTGCACAGCAGCTGCAGCCCCACTGAGCTGTGCTTGCTCTGTGCCATGCAGCTGTCACCAGGGAAAGACAAGAAGGTAGTGACTTGTCCCTCCTACCCTGAAGGAACAAAAGTTGTTTCCACACATATTTTTAAATCAGCATTGAAACACTTATTGAGGAGCCACCTTGCTAAGTGAATGCCAGATTTACATCTAAGGAGGCAGGGAAGGAAATCCAGCCAAGGTTGTTTAGGAGAGTGACGGAGTCTTTGAGTATTAATTCCTAATGAAACAGATGAGATCAAGAGCATCTCATCCAACCTCCCTATCACGAGCAGGAAATCATGAGGTCACTCCTGAGGATGCCCAGGTTTAGCTAAACACCAGCACTTAGCAATCACTCAATCAGCTCATCAGCTGTCATTAAACCAATTCTCCATCTGGAGTTGTGGAGAGCCTGCGAGATGGAAAATCCAAGCCTTGCAACACCTAGAACATGGCAGGTAACCAAGTACAGCAGTAATGTCGTTCTTCCTGGGATTCCACAAGGAACAGTTATGCAGTCCTGGCAGGACATAACTATGGAACACCCATTCCCTGAGTCCAGCACAGAAAGCCATGCCAGAGGACACTGGAGTCCCCCACCCCACTACACAGGCCCCATTTAACATAGGATACATCAACTGCTCCCATAATTGCTGCAATGCAGAAGCCTCAGGAGTCAGGTACCATGTTGGAGGAACACACTAACAGGGGCAATCCTGCCTCTTTTCTAAGTAGGTTTTTCCTGCTTTTGTAAACCTAAAATGGATTTTAAGGAAGTGATGATAAAGTCCTTGCCGTTCTCTAGCAACAGCAGCACCTTTGTGTAATGCCAGGAGCCTGTTATGAACTGCAGGAACACAATTTCAGAGGAATTGGCAGGTGTTGTGGCAATAGTAAGAGGGCAGCTGTGGGGGCTGGGGCAGACCCCACCTGCAGCTCCCCAGACAGGACGAGGCTGGGGAGCCCTTCAGAGCACTGCCATCCCACTGGAAACCTGCATCTGGAAACTGCCAGGGGAAAAAACCAACTGCCTAGACAGACTTCTCCACTCCCTGCCTTTTTAAAATTAAGGAAAAAGCTTGGCACTTCTCTAGCACCCACTTCTCCAAAGTCGTCCCTTTGGGATACTAACAGCTCTGTCAACATTTGCTCTCTATGACAAATGCTTTGGATGCAAATCATGGAAAGAGCAGTGCGTGAACAGCATCTTCTCCTTGAGGTAGTCTTAGTCATCTCGGTCCCCAGCCCCAAATACAAAAGAACTAACCCTAACAAACACTGTAACATTAAACATCTTCACATTCTGTAAACCGCTGGAGAATGCATCTGCTGCATTCTTACAGAACCATGTGCATCGTGTTGAAGATCATACATTCAACTCTGTCGTGAAATAAATATATAGGAAAAAGAGTAAAAAAACAAAAACAAACAAAAATATTCTTGCTACAAGGGCAGGGAGGCCCACTGCCCTGTCTCCTGCCTGGATGGCGTTTGCCCCTCTCCCATGGTGAGCCGGTTCCCGGCCCAAGGCTCAGCATAAGGCACCGGCCAGGGCCGGCTGCCCTCACTCTTTGCTCACACTCGTCTTGCAGGAATGTAGAACGGCCTTAAAAAGGAGAGGCAGCTGCTCCAGGGGGACATTCACCATTTTTCCTGGTAAGAAAGAAACCAGAATTAGCAGCCACTCCTGAATCAGATTTCAGAGACACCTAAGCCAGCAGCACTGGAGACGGTTTTACCTTGAACCTCTCACAGAAACAGTTAATCATCCCACAGCTACATTAGACATTTGATATGCATTTGGACACAATATGATTTATTATTTACTGAATAGAAAGCAAAATAAATGGGCAAAGGCAGATCAAAATGCTTTCTCCACAATGGAGAAGTATTTATAGAAAGTGGGAAAGGCTAAATCCCATCTCACCTCAAACCCCTTTGTTGATCTCTGTGAGTAAATTACGAGAGCTACTCTGAGATTATTATCTTGTTCATTATGAAGGAGTAGGATGAAGCATACAGAGCCTTGACACAGGGAGGCAAGCATCTCCCTTTGCCATAACATTCAGGAACAAACAGTTTTAGTAACATCAGACCTTGGAGATCTAATTAGCAACACAACTGCAGTTGAGAATTCACCTGCGGATTTCCGAGGTCCAGACGAGGAAACCTGGGGGTCACACTGGTCTGCCTGAACTCTGCTGATCACTTTCTGCTCAGTTCAGGGATCTCCCTAATTTAGATGAGATAGCTACTCAAACCAGGATTACATCCTTTTGAGACAAAATGCCCCCCAGCTGGGAATGAAAGAAGAATAAGGGGAGACTGAACAATGTACTTAAAGAGTTGGAGCAAGGCACCTCTTCCCAGAGTGGGACTAACCCTGTGCCCACCAGCATCACCAGGACACCTTGCCAAGAGCCCCTCAGACTGGATAAGCACAGGGCAATGGGATGGGAATAAAAAGATGGGCAGAAGCTCTGATAGGAAATGGTCCCACACAAACATCCTTGACCAAAGTCCACAAGAATTTTACTGCAATAAGTTAGTTATCTTTTAGAAGCAAATTTCATTCCTTCCTCCCAGCGGGAGAAGTGCTCAGGAGTTACCTGCAATATACCGTATCTCTGGCAAACACATCATTAAATCCGGGAAGCGGTTTGGCTGGTGGGGGTATTTGTACTCCGTGAAGTCCTGGCAAACGTACCAGTACCGCTTATTCAGCTGCTCCAGCTGGGAGGCGTTGGTCAGACCCCTGATATCTGGTGAGGAATACAATCAGAGCAATGAAAACATGACAAAAACATCTCAGAAGAGCAGCAGCCTCACACTTACTGCAACTTCTTCATGACAGATTGATTTCTGTCCCTCTGATCTGGGTCCCTGCTTTGGAGACTGCCTTCCAGCACCCAGCTAGACCAATACTAAAACTCCCATCTCCCCTCCTGCTGTGCCTGCATCATGGATGTGTCTTTATAAGTGTGTCTGGATCCAGGATTTCTCTCCACAAAAGGCTGGGAAGAGAACAGCTAATGTCTCATTAGAGACTCATCTGCAGCTCAATTAATCCTCTTAGAGGGAACAGCCCTAGCAACCTGAAATCCATGCCTGGCACAACACAGCCAGGTGTCAACGTTTGGTCCTCACAGGATATCAGTCTAACACCTCCTCAGACAGGAACACATTGGTTTTAGCTGTATCATCTTGGCTGAGGACAGCACTCAGCTCTGTAATTCAAGATATCATCACATTTCTCCCCATCTGCTTATGAATTATGTCACGGGAGCTTTATAAACTTGTCAAGTTCTTGTTTTTAAATTTAGCTTTGCCAGTGTTAGTAGACAACACACACAAAGGAAAAATGGACAGGCAGGAAGTCCCACTGGCAGCGTGACCAGCGGCATCGGCACTGGCGGCTCCTGGGGAGGATCCAGCACAGAAGCAAGGAAGCTGCCGAGCCTCGGAGCAGGCTCAGAGCTGGGAGACCATCTGACGGAAGAGGCATTGATCCACTGCCCAAAAGCTGACTTTCAAAAATAAGTCTCAGGTATTTCACATAAAAAATTGCAAACTTCAACTAAAAATAAAAGAAGACAGGAAGTTAATGAAAATACATTTTGGAAAACAATGGAGACAGCTCGAGAAGTGCATTATCCAGTGTCAGGAAACTGCCCAGGGAAGCAAACCGGAACCTCAGCCCGGCACAGATTGAAGCGTCAGCATTATCTCCCTCTGGAAATAAGTGGGGGAGGAGGGAGCCCGCAGCACATTTTTACAGACTGCAACTATCTTTCACAGTACAAAAGACTTTGGAGACATTTATTTCCAAAATTACAACTGAACGCTATTCACTGAGCATTTGTCTCTGCATGGATTTTGAAATGCCCAGGGTCTCAAAGGGGCATGAACTGCCAGCTTTAATATGCTGCTTAATCAACAGGAAGATACAGCCCTTTCCTAGGCTGAATTCATGGCCTGCACATATATTTGTAAATAGTTCATTCGTGATTACATTTCACTGTGAAGAGTCAGACTTAGGTAGAGAACCTAAAAAGTAGGAACCCAGCTAAGAGACCTAAGGATATATGCTGAAAATAAACATTTTAATGAGTCTGAAAAGCTCTAAAAAGAGAGCAACCAGACTTACAAATTCACCCTTTGAAGCAGAAAAATGAACAAGTGGGGCTGGCAGCTCCTCTTTGCTGCCTCACCTTGGTTTAGGAAGTTGATGGCTTTCATGCATGCGTACTCCTCGTTGCTGACCTTCAGCTGGTTGAATTTGCGAAAGAGGTAGATCAACCGCTCCATCACCTCCATCCCCTCTTCACTGAATCTGGAGGACAGAGATCACACATCAGCACACACAGCACACAGACTGGACAGTGAAGGTATGAAGCTTATTGAAGTCAGTTCAGAGATTTTAACACCTTGCAAGAAAATTTTTAAAAAAGTCATCCAAACTGCCTGAAGTCTGCTGGTACCAAAAATAAGGAGAAAAATGTCTCAGTTAAAAATGCAGAATCATAGAACCATGGAATGATTTGGTGGAAATTATCTCAAAGCTCATCCAGTCCCATTCACCTGCCAAGGGCAGGGACACTTTCCACTAGACCATGTTACTCAGAGCCTCATCCTGCCTGGCCCAGGGATGGGGAGTCCACATATCCTACAGATATTTGTAGGAAAAAACCTCTCTAGGTGATTCAGCTCACCACCAGCCTGTTCTGACAGCAGAGAAGGTTTCACGGAGCCAGGAACCTGCAGGGAAGCCAGTGACAGATGGGTAGCACAGGGCACACTGATGTAACACCCCAAAACCTCCTGGAAACTGCCTGATGGAGATTTTTTGGGTGCAGAATGAGGTCCTCCTGCTAAAGAGGCTGCCACATTTCATCAAGAGTAATACCCCACGTGTGCACCATAAAAAAGCCATGGGGAAGGACCAGGCAGGGGCGGAGCGGGAGGATGTGGAAGGCTGTGGGTATCTGCAGGCACCTCCAGAGCATCCCACACCTGCCCAGGGCCAGAACAGCCTCTTGGGAACACATCTCACAGCAATACCTGGCTTCAAAGCAACTACATATTGCAGAAGCACTCAGAAGTGGGACAGAAGTGTTTCGGGAAGCTTCAGTGTGCTCTAGCATTGTGCAGCACAAAGAATAAGAGCGCAGCCAGCAAGCCATCTCTGAATAGAACAGAAATAGAACCTTTTTCACTGAATAATACCTTATTTTGGCATGTGTGTTTGTTTACTTCAAAGTTATTTGTAAAATGCACGGTGGGGTTTGACCTCTGCAAAGTGAAAACAAGCTGTCTGAACTCCAGGTCAGTTCTTCAAGAAAGTAATATTCTAAGTGATGAAAGCCTCGTCGGCTAATCTAAAGTTGTGCAAGTTTTCTTGCTCTCCAGTTGACATTAAAAATCTTGCAGGTGCAAGATTGCAAAGCTCAAGAAGTTAATGAGCACAAAGACCACTCAGTCATCTGTTGGGTTTCCTTTTAGAGCATGCACATTTTTACCAGCCACTCATCACTTCATAAATCCAGGAGAGCTCTTCTCTCATTCCTGCAGTTGAACTGTCTTACTTTTCTGCACATACTTTCCTCCCCCTTTCAAACAAAGCTGTTCTGTTTTTCACAGCCCTATTTCTTTTCGAGGACTGACTCCTCCACACACTTTTCCTCACAGTTTACACCAGGCAAGTTTCTGGCTGGGAGTTATCGGGATCAGCTGGGGAGGAGGGGGAAGGGAAGCACAATCAGGAGTGCTGGGGGAGGTCAGGAGTCTATTCATTTCATATTCATCTTCAGAAAAACAGCACAATAAAAGAAAACATTTGATCTAGCAGGCAAACAGAACATTTAGCCAGTTGTTAGAAGCAATTAAAACACAGGGGCTGTGGAGCTCATTCTATGCCTTTGTTTGTCACCTATGCTTTAGCACTGCTCTTGTCATTTTGTTAAGAGCAGAAATTAACCCTGAAGTGCCAGACCATCCCTACTCAGTGAGATTTCTCCAACCATGTGTGAGCTCTGATGAAGCTCCCTTTGCAATCATTCCTGATCAATGCCAGAGGAGCAGGGGGCTCTTTGAGAACACCCACAAATGGGACACCTCTCCAAAAGGGCCCCTCTCAAATCCAAAGGGACCAGATTTGGACAGGGAAACTGATACCCATGAGCTATCCCACTGCTGCTGGACACAGTCAAGCCATGGCTGAAGGACCATGAATACCAGTGTGAGGGAGCTCTGCAGCTCCAGACCCCTCATCTGTGCAGCTTCCTGCTAAATGGCTTTTTGGGTGTGCATTCTCCCAGGTTACTAACGACAATTAATGACACTTGAAAAGCTAAATCACAAGAAGAGACTGCAGAAGCATTCCTCTCCCAAGAACACCTATTTTCATCCATGTGCACAGATCTTCTCTGAAGGACCTTCAAGGCGACCAGCTCTGAATTGCTGGTTTCTGCAGGGCGAGGATTCCTCCTTTGTCTCGTTGTCTTACCTCTCGCTTGTATTTATCACAAACTCAAAATGAAACAAACACTTCTCCTGTGAGGCTCTGACCAGGACAGCAGGAACAAAAGGACAGCTGAGTGCAAGAACAAGTGTCATTGTGGTTTTCTATGACCCTCAGTGCTCCTCGCAGGAGCGGCACCAGATGCACGATGAATGGCTGTGCAGAGCAGCGCCACAGAGGAACCTGTCCCAGGAAATGGGACACCTGGGGCCAGCTCCCTGCCACGGGCTCAGCCAGCCAGTGCCTCTGCTTATCACAACAGATACACAAAGGAGCCCCCAAGAACCTTGAGACACTGCAATGGCTGAGGACCACCGCAGTGTTTTAAATCTCTACTCATCAGACATCCCCTGGTGACTCTGGCGGCATCGTGAGCCCAGGAAGGGCAGAGAGCAAAGGGCAGGTGTTTAAGGGAGGATGGGCAGCAGTTTCTCTAAATCCTACCTGTTCTGCCATTGTGTGGTGAGATTAGGACTCTACTACCCAAAGAAGAATCTGTCTGGCACCAAGACTACAAAATAAAAAAAAATCCAAACCAAAAACCAACACCCTGACCAACATGATAAACGAAAGGCAAGCTCCTCAGAGCATCAGATAACAAAAAAACAAGTGCTAAGTTGCAACATCTTTAAATTTATCTAATCAAAACAATGAAATAGCAGTTAATAATGAACACTTTGATAATACAGACAACCAGCTTTGTGAACAACCTTTCCACTGGCCCAAAGGGTTTTTAAATAAGACTTTCTTTCCTGTGTGCCAGGGTTACCCAAAGTGTTGGTTAGTTTTACCTCCCTTCCCCACGCCCCCATAAAAAGGTGGCTATGTTGGAGGACAACAGCATTGCTACATGGAATTCAAAGAGCCTCATGCATCACTGTGCCCTTCTCCTGCAGAAGGAGGTTGTGATCCAGCACTGACTAACCATTACAGGCTTTCTAAGCCTGGAACAACTGTTCTTTAAAAAGCAGAAAAGGAAAGCAGTCACAGGTGAAGTAACCTGTCCCAGAAGGTGGTCAGAAGACACCTGACTGTTGGGCTCCCATGGCTCCTCATCTCCAGATTTTGCTGCCTCATCCCGGGCTCAGCCCATCTCACCTGTGCAGCTCGTCATCAGAGGGAGAGTACTTGGAGGTGACATCTGCAAGGTCACCAAAGATCTGCTTGCTGTAAACAGTCAGCGAGGACAGCAGGATCAGCTCCTGCCACGTAGAGCTGAGCAGGCAGGTATAGTCCTTGATGGAGAGTTCGCAGAAGAACGGCAGCTTCTTGATCCAAGCAATCTGCCTGAAAAGCAATTCATCCGCCAGACGACACAGCAACGCAAACAGCTCTGCCTGAGTCACTTTATACCTGCAGGCACAGTTAATACAAAGGCAGAAAAAACATTAAAAACATCGAATGACATCATCTGAGGCACTCGGAAAGGAGGCAAATGCCAAAGGAATTTGCCAGTGCCCAGAGTGTCACCTGGTGACAGGAGCCACGATGGTCAGCACCCACCCTGCCCAGGCAGGGGCCGAGGGGAGTCCTCGCAGCCCCTGGGCTCACCCAGCTGCCCAAGCACCCAGCCTGGCCAGACCATGCAGTCTGGAACCCCGTGCCAGGCCCGGCAGCCCAGCTGCAGCCCCAGCAGGACGGGATGGGGTCAGGCTCACTGCCTCGCCCCGGGGACGTCCCCGCGTCACACGCACCCGTCCTCGATGAGCATGGGGGTGCCGAGCGGCTCCAGGTCCTCGGCACACACCAGCTGGCTGATGAGGCTGAGCGACTGCGGGTCCAGGCTGCGCGGCTGCGGCGCCATCAGCGCCGAGTGGGCCGAGTAGCTAAAAAGGTGCGGCAGGTACTGGTAGTGCGTGGACACCGGCGTGCCCAGGTACTGATCCCTGAGTGCAGCGAACCCGTTCAGCTCCACAGACCTACTGGAAAAGGAAAAACTCTTCAATACACCCCCAAAACTCCATCTGGTTCATTACAGTGCTGCATCCAGCTCCACCAGAAATGTTAACAAAAATAGGGAAAGCAAACAGAATGGAAATGCCTCTGGGTTTAGACCCTGCCCTGGAAAGAGCCGGGTGTGCACTGGCTGCACCTGGCTGGGCACTGGTTCCACCTGATGGAGATGTGGGAGCTGCTGCTGAGCTGCCAATTCAGGGAGCAAAGCAGAAACCCAAAACCCACCTGTGCCCAGCCTTTCCACCTGGCTTCCTTACAGGGCCAGAACTGAGGATCGTACCGTAAGTACTCACAGCCAGTGCACACAAACAAGGCCAAGCTTAAGCTGCAACTGAAAGCAGATGGGATCAGGTCTGAGATTCTTGCTGTGTTTGCAATCAAAGACTGCATCAGGAACTGCATCAGGAGGTTTGTATTCACAGTAGCCAACTTTAATGTAACACCACCAATTATTAACGTAAATGGTTTTATTTTTAAAATCTGAGCATGGTGCAGAGAAAGATCTTATGCAGAATGAGCAGTGAAAGGTGATCAAGCTCTCAAGATCTGCAGAAAATGCAATCAATATAAACAGAAGTATATTTTAAATACAATTTTAACTCAAGATTGTCTTCCTTTGCTCACAAACATCTCACTTCCCAGTTCAGTTCTTTTTAATCTGGTGCCTGTTTGTCTTAGAACACAATCAGAGAGGTAAGAACCTGCTGTATGACACAAAGATGTATTCACATGTTTTCCCTACACTGACCCAGTATCACCCAGGGAAAGAAATCCAAGATTCCTCTAACACCAAATTCTTCCAGGGGTCATTCCCACCTTGAAGATGGAGTAGAAACAGGTGAAGGCTGGTTGCTCTCAGAAACTCCATTTCCAGGGGAACTATGGTCACTGTCTCCGTTGTTGCTCCATGACATGTTTGCCTCTCCCTCAAATTCTTGCCCAGACATAATTCTCTCAATCTCTTCCTCTGATATCTGTCAAATTCAGGACACAATGGTTACTTTGGCTGGGAACAGAAAAGCAGAATCTCTGTTTACAAACACCTTGTTCAGTCACATCCAAGGGGGCTGAAGGTACTACATCCTTCCTCTGCATTTAACAACACACGTGAAAAATTCTATTTACAGGTAATGGTGGTGACCTCCAGCTCCAGCAGTACCATACAAGTGAGGGTAGCACAGCAGATAGGAACTGACACATGAAAAGATGATGTCAGATGGACATGGCAACGAGCTGTAAATCAGCCCTTGTCACACCGTGAAAAACTTGCGAGTAATTGAGGCCAGTACATTAGGAACATCACTCAGGACTGGCAAAGGGAAAGGCAAACACGAGGTGGGGCAGGCTCTGGTTTGAAAAAGCAATCAAGAGAGACAAGGTGACACATATGAAATCAGTCAGAAAACACTTACAGGGAGACAGAGTTCCCTATTTTCCTCCAGATAAGAACCAGGTGGTACCTGAAGTAACAATTTAACACCTAATACTTAAATTCCAGAGAGTAACATATACAAAGCTAAAATGGACTAAAAAAATTTTTAAATTTATTTCACTGTAATATAAAGTTTTAAGAAAGTGCTGAGCATGCTCCTGGAGGAGGGTTCCACCACTAATGGGGAAAATGCATAAAAATTTAGAGGCTTCTTTTTTTTTTTTTTAATGCTGTGTATGTCCCTTAATGAGAACAGCAGGGAACAGGTTTGTGTGGCTCCAGGGAGGCTGTGTCTGACACTGACCCCAGACACCCGACTGCACAGCAGGGCAGAGCGGTGCTTGCTCGGCTCCTCACTTTGGGCTGGGCTGAGTGCTCCTTCCCAGGCACTCAGAACTCATAGAAATTGCTTTCAGTGTTATTTCTATTTTGCTAAAATAAACAGTAAACTTTTAAAAGACCCCTTTTCCAGAAGCAAGCTGGAAATGGCCATCATTTCTCAGGCATGTGGCACAAGCTGCTGTGCTGAATTACCTCGTGCTTTACAAGGCATCTCTGGACAAGCTGTGCCATCAATCAGAGAGACATTTACTGGTGCCCTGCTTGCCACAACTGAAGGGATTGCAGCAGGCAGATTGAAATTTACTGGGAGCCATGGAGGGACAGATGTCCTTGTGTGGCTCACAAAGGACAGGGTGCTGCGAGTCTGTGTGTCCATGCAGCACCCTGGGATGGCCAGCTCTATTTACCAACCTGCAGCTCATGACGTGTTTCTGACAGAGTCAGAGCCCTGCCACACCAGCAGGACACACAGCCAGAGATGATGGAGGCTCAGCCAAGCCAGCCCCAGCCCAGGCTGAGCTGCTGCCGTGGCCTGAGCCCAGCCCAGCCAAGGTCAGCAGACCAAAAGCTGAAGGAGTCCTGGAGGGAATGTACTCACCTGGACAGGTCCAATGCTTTTGTTTCTGCCTCCTGGCATGCCATCCTCCCTGATTGCTGAAAGATACAACCAAACCTTAGTGAGGAACACCACTGCCAGCAATTCCCAAAGTACATAAGTAGATACATATTTATGTTGATAGAAGCTTTTATACCTTAAAAGATTTATTTTTTTCATTAAAGAAGTTTGCAAAGAAACCTTCAGTCCTGCAGCAACACACACCATGGTTCTCACCCCAAAAGGCACAGACACATCAATGGGACTACAAGCATTACTCAAGGATTTTAGTTTCTTCATGTGCTCCTTGAGTGACAGGTAATGAAGAAATAACAATCTTTTATCAGAATTGATTCCAGCATAATTTGAGAAGTGGCACATGGTAAGGAACCCTATTTGACCCCTGGAAATAACCCAATGAATGCCCAGAACTGCTGGAAAATGAGATGTAGAGGCGAGCACATCCAACTCTGCTGCCCACAGCCCTGTGAAGCACCATGAGCCAGAATCCAGAGAGACACCAGCAGTGCTGCCACCAGCACAGACACAAAGCACTGCACTGGTGACTGCTAACCCTGCTGCCACTTCAGAGGGCCACATCTCCTACAGCCACCACAGAAAATGGAGGGGAGATGTTTGACCCCGCTGGTTGCTTGCAAAGCCGTTGTTTAAAACTCAAGTTACCACACCGATCTGCACTTCAGAGGGGTGGCCTCATTTCTCAGCTTCACTTTTAAGGCTCTTTAAACAGTTTCCAGGGAGCTGCAAGTCCAGCTGAGGGGATTAACCTGGAGCAGCTTCTCTACCTTCTTCTTCCCTCCGTCTCTCTCTGCAGAAGCCATGGCAGCCCTGCTCCTCGTGTGCCTCCCCTCCCAGGCTGTCCCCCTGTTTATCAGTGCCCGATCTCTTTCCCACCACGACCTGGCCAGACTTGGCAGGAGGCTCTCCCCAGCTGCACGGTGACCTTGCTGCTGCATGGCCTCACCCTGCTTGGCACACGGGGCTGCAGGAGGCCGTCCTGGAGCAGAAAGTGGCACCAAATTTAAACAAAAACTTCTGTCCCAGAAAAGCCACGCTGCTGCTTGGTTTGAGATATCCTCAGCTCAAATCCTCCTCGTGTGCCTCGAGGCTGCTCCCGCAGTGCAGGGAGTGCCTCAGAGGGCAGAGGAAAAGCCCACAGGACCTGAACTGTGGTTTCCCAAACCCCAACCACCAACCTGGGAAATGCACAGCTCTGGCTTTTTATCTCCTATGAAAGCTCATATCAGTTTCTCACTAAAAAAAAACAAACCAAAAAAACCCAACAACAAAAAAAAAAATCTGTCATAGTTAGCTGTTACCCCCTTTAGGTTTTTTAAACTTACTGGACCTACCTGAATTCTGGGGGAATTTTTCTAATTCTCTAAAATATTTTACCACTGTGATTTAGAAGCTTCCCTTCAGCTCATTCCATTATGAGCCCTGGGCATAAATTGTCTTGCTGTTTTGATTTCAAAGCGTAATTTTAGCAGACAATAGATTCCACCTGCAATAAAATGTAGGAATGTTTTTGCTGCTGGGCCATCAAAAAGGCCTCAAGAGATCAGAATAGTTCCCAAATACAGATGGACTCTTTGGAATATCATCCTGCTCCTGGGCTGCATGACAGCCACTCTCCTCAAAGATGATTTTCCTACCAGTGCTAAGCTCTGCACCTTATCTGAATTAAAAATGATTGTATTTAGACCTAATATTGAATAGATTTTCCAACCCAACAATGCCATAACTTGGCACCAGGGCAGGAAGAGAAAGCTCCAGAACCCAACACCGAGGACCTGCAGGGCTGCCTGGCCTCGGCAGGGACACCGGCGGTGAGTGGAATCCACGCGGTTGTTTGGGGAGGGAGAAAAGGGAAAGGAGAAAACGAAAAGGACAAGGAAGAGGGGGAGCAGGGAAGGCGGGCGCGGGCCGGCAGGTGGCGCTGCGTGCCCGCAGGTGAGAGCCACAGGTGAGCGGCCCGAGCCACGGCACAGCCCGAGCGAGAGCACGGCCTGACCCACGGCACGGCCTGACCCCCGGCACGGCCTGACCCACGGCACGGCCTGACCCCCGGCACGGCCCGACCCACGGCACGGCCCGAGCGAGAGCACGGCCTGACCCACAGCACGGCCTGACCCACGGCACGGC